GCCCACCAGTGACGCGGACGTCCTGAAATTCATCCAGAAGAAAGCCGCCGAACAACGGCAAACCCAACCGTGGTGGGACAAGTTGGCCAGTCCTACCAAACAGCAATGGGCCTACGCCAATGCTTACCATCGAGCTGAGGAGTATGCCAAGCAACGAGGGGCTCTACGATCCCCACCCAAGAAAAAACGCCGACGCGCTGGTCGTCATCCCCCCATGCGCAAAAAGAAACCCCCTAAACCCAAGACCTGCATGACCCTGATGGAACTGGCCCGGGCGTTTCCCAACATTGCCCAGCAAGTATGTTTTCATCCCAAACAATCGACCTTCAATTCAGTGGTGGGACGTGTCCCTCGCAGTAAACAGAAAGTGGCGACGTGGCTATAAAAGGACCCTGCACCCTATTAGACGTGCCTCTTCTTCCTCATGATGAGTGAGATCAAACGCTTGACGCTCATCAGCGATCCGACCGACGAGTTTCCCAACAATGCCAACAACAGTTTCAAGGTCCGTCTGCCCGAACGCATGTCCTTACCAGGCACAGGCTGGCATGCCTCGCTCATGTCCCTGACCGTCCCGGATCAAGGCCAGAGCAATGCCATCATTGCCGCGGATCCGCATACCAAAGTGGTCCGATACGAGTATCCACAATCGGTGCGTCTGTGGACAGACACGGGTAACCCATCGACCTCAGGGTATTTGTCAGTAAGCTCCCCCACGGTGACCGGTATGATTGAATTGGAAGATGTCATGAATCCCACTCAAATCGTGGCGACGGGGAGACAGTTTTGGCAACGCGTGGCGCAACAAATGCATAACTTCATCATGTACACTGCGATGAAAGATCAATGGAGCGAACTGATTAAGAATAGCGACCGAAAACCGATTGTGTTTGTCAATAAACACGGCATGCCCCGAATGACTTGGAAAGATGAGTCTCTGGTGATTGAAGCGATTCCTAAAAAGCAGTTGTTGAACAATCGCCAAATCAACATGGTGGAGTTTTACATCAATGTGGACATTGCATTCAAGTTTGGATTGCTGCGCCTCAAGACGGGCAAGACAGGAAGCAGCCAGAGTGATTATGTGATAGGGCCGAATCTGCAATATTCTCTCCCCGTCAAGACCTATGATGAGACCACGGGTCCCGCCGGGAGTCGATATCGATCCTATTACGATTGGGAAGGGGAGGTGTACGAGGGTGTCAACTATACCAGCCGAGCGTTTTTCATCGTGACCAAAGACAATGTGAAATGGATGAGATTGCACCAGGCGTTTGAATGGCGTTTGAATAACCTGGATGCCTCGTTTGAAAAGATTGTGGGCACCCGCCGACGGACCGTCATGGTCTATTCGGATCTGGTGGAATCCACGGTGGTGGGCAGTGGCAAGTATCCCCTGTTACGAGAAGTGCAATTGTTGAGAACCGGCGATGGGGAAAGTACAGCCGAACCCCTGCACCACCAATGGATCAAACTCCGAGGAAATCAACTAGACATCTTGGAAGTGGAGATTGCCAGCACGGCTGGACCCTTGGCCCCTTTACCCCCCGGCAAAACCCTGGTGACCATTGGTCTCAAACAGCTATAAAAAGCCACCCCCATGTCTCTGGAAGGTCCAAAACACGACGTGAATCATGCGCGGAGGTAGTTTAACGCGGTACCACACGCCCGTGCTCACCCAGCAAGAGGGCAAAGGGTTGGCCGAAGACTTGATCAAAATCGCGGGACCCTTGATCGTGCAGCAAGCTCAAGCGGGACTGCAAGATATTCAACGTGGCAAGAGTGCTGCAGCCACGTGGGCGGATCGAAGTGCCCAACTCAGTCGCGGCTTGAAACGCAAAGCCCCCGCCATGGCTTGGACGGCGGGCAAACACAAAGTCAAACGGACCGCTCAAAATACCTATAAAAGAGCCACGCAACGTGTACGGGATATCTTTGGACTGTGAACAAAATGGTACGTGTAGGAGGTTTTCTCAAATCGCAAAATCGCGTTCGACGGCAACGGGCCCGTGGACGGTTTATTTCACCGTATCAAGTGGGAGGCACGATCTTTGGCAAGTCGACGACAGCGCGTTATCCGTTGATGCACACGTCCTCCCGCCAATTGGATCGTTACCTACAGCGCAGGATGAAAGGGGGCACGATTTTCGGCAAGTTCACTCGTAGGCGCCAAAATCCTTTGGGGTTCCCCACAGCCGCCGATGGCATCAATCCTGCTCCATGGAGGGTGGAACAGGCCCTGCGCCGCATGAAAGGGGGCAAGATTATTGGGGCGTTGGGCAAGGGAGATCTCCGAACAGTGTTGTGGGCCAATCAAGCCAAAGCCCGGAAACAGAAGAAGAAACAGAAAGGAGGCAACGTCTTTAGCCGATTGAAAAAACGCATTCAAATCGATTTTCCGCACCGCCCCTTTCCCGCCGCGCATCCCATCCATGATTGGCACAGACTACGAAAAGGTATAAAAAGAGGACGTCGTTGAACCTCGTGGACAGACCGCACCATGTCGCTCGAACTGTTTGACGTGCCTGATGTGGATTATCGGTACGAAGCCTCGCGGGAGGTGGAGTTTCAACCCGCTTTGACAGGTATCCAGCCCATCACTTTCTCCATTCCTGGCTCCGACGATTATTACGATCTCAATTCTCTCCGCTTCAAAGTCAAAGTGCGCTTGACCGATCCCGCCGCTGGGTATACAGGATTGCATGCGGGTCTACTCATTTCCAATGCCAACGAAACCCGACATGTCTACTGCGTCAACAATTTTGGTCAATCCATCTTTCGAGACATTACCATGAGCATGAATGGCGTCCTTGTGACCGAACAGAGCAACACTTACCATTACAGAGCCTACATAGAAACCCTGCTGAATTACAACCGAGAAGAAGGAGCCACCAAGCTAGCTCCCCAAGGATGGGTCAATCAACTGAATGTAGCAGAAGAAATAGGAACCACCGCCGCCAATTCCGATGTCCCTGTGGCTGCAGACTGGAGTGGGAATGCAGAGTTACGTGCCCTGACCAGCAAGTTACTGAGTGAAAATTGGCACACCTTCATCGTGCGTCCCCATTTGCCCACCCTCCATACAGGCAAATTGTTGGTCCCCAATATCCAGTTGGACTTTGAACTGTTCCTCAACCCCAAGACCATCTACCTGATGGGCTCCCCCAACAAAGGCACCTTGACCACCAAGAAAATTCCAGCCATCCACAATGATGACATCAAAGTCACCTTGTTAATGAGAAAAGTGACCCTGAATGCTGCTGTCTATGTCAGACTGCAAAAAGAAAGACAACTGAACAAACAGATTGCCCGCTACCCTGTGGTGCGGAGTGAAATTCGCACCTTTTCCTTTGATGGACGCACCACCCAATGGGAACAAGACAATGTGTTTGTGGGACGATTTCCTGATCGAGTGATTGTCGGATTATTGCATTCGGATGCCTTCAATGGAGACCTGGAAAGATACCCTTTTGCTTTTCAAAAGTTTGGGGTCACCCAAGTACGACAGACCTTGAATGGAGAAGAATACCCTTACAGAACCCTGCAATTGACAGGAGACCAAGCCTATGAAGATTTGCTGGGCTACGATCGATTTCTACAAGCCATGGGTGCCTACAATGAACACAAGATTCCTATGCTGCTGCCTGGTGATTGGGGACAAGGCAAGAATTGTACCTTGTTCATGTTCAACAATGTGCCTAGTCAAAAAGCCGATGACCCTGAATATCGCAACCCCCGTCAATCGGGCAATACGCGATTGATCATTGATTTTGCTGCGGCTGTGGGACACAACGTCACCGTCATGGTATGGAGCGAGTATGAAAACATGTATGAGATCAACCATCTGGGAGGTATAAAGTACAACATCAACGGCTGAGAAATCAGAAGTCAAAAGACACCGAGCATGGAGTTTGTGGCACTCAGTGATGCCGTGTTGCGGACCCTGGCCTTGGAAGACCCCGCATTACGACGCGTGTTTCATGGGGTGCATCCCGCCGACCAACGCCCCCGATCCCCCGCCAAGGAGATCCGTCAAGCCTACATTGTCAACACGGACCCCGCGGGAGAACCGGGCCAGCATTGGTTGGGCCTGTGGACCGAAAAGAACCAGTGCGAGATCTTTGACAGTTATGGTCTACCCCTGCACATGTACACCACCCCGGAATTGCACCAATGGTGGGGTCAATGGAAGTACCTGACGCGCAGTGACCAGACCCTGCAAGCCCTGGATAGTCAAACCTGTGGCCATTATGCATTATTTTTCTTGAAAGCCCGGGCACAAGGACGGTCCTATCAAGAATTTTTGAGTCAATGGAGTTGTGACAATTTAGTGTTGAATGATCATAAAGTGGCCGACCAGTTGAAACGGGTGATTAAACAGGAATTACAAGATGAAGTGGATGCCCGACGGGATGGGGGGCAAAAGAATGTAAGCCGTCAGGCCTTTATCACGTGTCATCCTTGTGCATGTTAATAAAAACCATAAAACGAGATGTGTGGTGAACGAGTGGTCATTTTGTCTCTCATGATGATTACGCGAAGCGATGTCCAGCGGGTGGTCGATGCGTTCATTCTCGAAGAAACCTTGTATTGGTGGGAACACCCCATCGAGCGGGTCAACACGGTGCGAGGGATTGACGCGTGGGATGGGTATCATTGGCTCATGGCCCGACAATTGGCCCAAGACCAAGACTGGGTCTCCCTCAAACAGTATATGGACAGTATGAGCGAAACGTATTTAAGAGAAACCATGGAAGGTCTGATCCAGTCTGAATCGCCACGTGTGTATCGCGAGTATTGGACAGCATGCCCCACCGCAGACGACGGCGACGACAACGACAACGACGACCCTGCTTTCGCCAAAACGGACGAGGCATCATGAGCGTGTTGGCCAAAGCCTATAAAATCGGGGATAAATTGGGACGCGACAAACGGTATAAACGCATGGGCGCTAAAGGAGCCACGGGTCATTATCGACGTCACCCTCGTCCGTGGGAATCATGATCCGTCAACCCAGCAGTGTGATTATCGCGGGCCCCTCAGGTAGTGGCAAGACGGATTTGGTGGAACAATGGTTACGGTACCTGAACGTCTTTCAAGCCAAACCCCGCAAGATTGTGTATGCCTATGATCGCTGGCAACCCCGATTCGAGCGGATGCAAAAAAAGGATGGGATTCAATTTTATCGCGGGTTACCGGACCCACGTCATTTGACGCAATGGTTTGGTCGAACGCGTGGCGGGGTGCTGGTCTTGGACGACCTGATGGAAGAAGGGGGACAAGACAAGCGCGTGTTGGATTTGTTCACCAAAGATTCGCATCATCGTAACATCACGGTGCTGTATTTGACGCAAGATTTATTCCCGCCGGGTAAATTTTCCAAGACCATCAATCGCAACGCGCATTACATTGTGGCGTTCAAAAACCCTCGGGATCAAACAGGGATACGGACGATTTTATTGCAAGCCTTTCCGGATCGGTGGCGTCAAGTGTTGCGCCTATTTAAACGCATCACGGCCCGCCCCTTTGGCTATTTGATGTTGGATGTGCATCCAGCCTCGGATGATCGCTACCGTTTGTGGAGTCATTTAACGCCCCGAGAAGGCAAAGCCCAAGTCCACACTTTGCGGGCGGATGTCCCTGCCGATCGAAAACGCGCTGCTACGAGAACGCGAACGTCAACGACGGCAAAGAGAAGGCGGACAACATACTGAGTTAGCCGCTCGCATGGACGCTCACACGCCCGCGGGGGTAGGTTCCCCGTCGGTCCTTCGGGATCTCAGCAGCATGACGGACATGGTGACCGAATTGTCTCGACCCGTGGATCGTGCCCAATTGCAACAAGACATTGAGGATTTTAATTTGACTTACCCGGTCAATGTAGACGATGCCTTGAATGCCTTCACACTCCCGCCCGTGGCAGGCACGGGTACAGCCCCCGTCACCACTGCCACCACCACCACGGCAGCCCCCACCCGTCCCACCACCTCGACCCGAACACGCCCCACGACCACCACCACTACCACCAGTCGACCACGACCCGTCACGTCCACCCGAACACGCCCCACCACCACTGCCACGACCACCACCGCCCCTGCCCGCCCCTCCACCTCCCGCCGCAGTGTCGGGGCAGGAACCAGGACCACGACCTCGACGACAACGACCCCCACAGGACGCCCCACCGTGGCTGCCAAACAACCGCGACGGCGCCCCAGGGTGCCCTCTCCACCCTCCCCAGGTTCGTCCCCTCCGTCCGATGACGAGGATGGCGATGATGATGACGATCGACGGCGAGGATTAAGGCGACGGTTGGATTTGCTCAATGAAGATGCTCAAGAACGGGCACGAGGTCGACGGATTCGCAACATCACGCACACCAATACGGTGACCACCGTGTATGAAGAGGGGGGTCGTCCCTCGGTGCGCCGCACATCCACCCGCACGTCCAGCCCAAGTCCACCCAGACCACCACGCCGAGGACGGGGCCGTGGCCGAGCACGCGGACGGGGCCGAGCCCGTGGACGAGGTCGTAGTATATAAAAACAGGGACCTTTCTCCCCCTGTCCCAAAAAATGTGTGGCCGTTGTCGACACGCGATGGCCCCTAGACGCAAACGTACCACGACTCGACGACGATCACGTCGACGTAGGATCAAGGGTGGATCGGCACCGTTCATCGTGGATGTCAAAAAAGGCTTTGAGTTGTTGGCGGATAAGAATATGTGGAAGATTCCTTCCAAAGCCGAGATGAAGGCCAACAATCGACAGGTGGCTGATTATAAACGCCAGTATCGCGCCAGTGGCAGCAAGGACTCGTACGACAAGTGGTTGGTCAAGAAGGGGTATGCCAAAAAAAAGGTGGATGCAGTTTGATGTGAAATGTATAAAAAGAGGCTCGCGGTGTTCCGCTCAAAAAGGATTCGTCATGGGCCCTAGACGGAAACGCAAACGCAACGCAGGACGAACGACGACGACCCGCCAAACGACGACGGCGTGTGAGTCAAGGGGGGTGTCGCGGTCAGCATGCCTATAGGCATTTCTCAAAGCCGGCTATGGGATCACCAAAGCCATCGGGGATCATCAAACCAAGCGTGCCATCGCCATTGGCGAAAAACGTCGACGGAAGTGGCTTCCGGCAAACGGAAAAAATACGCGGGGGATTGTTCCAATAAAAAACTATAAAAGACTAAATTGTTCCATCGGACAGTTCATCAATCATGTATTGTGGTCCACGACGACGAAAACGAAAAGCAACGCGGGGTATTCTCCGTTTCTCAGAGCGGTGGCTGCCGCCGTCCATTGAAGAAAAAAAAAAAAAATGGGCAAGGTCCGACTGGCCCAACAACGGTCGCGGATGTTCAATCGAATGCCGGGTTGGGCTGGTTTGAAACGCTGAAAAGGCTATCCCTTGGTGGGACACACGATTCTCATTGAAGAATGGTTCGCCCCAACGGTCGTCGCATCGTTATGTCCCTCGAATACGACGCCGCCGACGTGGACGCCAACGCGGTGCTAAACTCCCGTTGTTGGCAATGGCTCTCTCGCCTTTGTATCTCCGGAAATTCAAACCCAGAATCCGACTACGACGCCCAGACTAACCGACGCCCAAAACGCAAAGCCGTCACGTTTGCGTTGGATTGGGATGACCAGTATGACGCCGCTTTGTGTGCCCGGTGTCGACATCACATGCAAACGCATTATCATGGGGAATTGTGTGGTCGGTGTGGCGCCATTTTTACCATAAATAGACCTTGGTCCTTGCCTGAACTCAAGATTCATCATGGGGTGGCGCATGGAACGTCAAGCCCCGTTCTTAAAAAGTGTCTTACAAGAAGCCAATCAACACAAACGACAAGAATTGTTGCGGATGGCCAATGCGGATCAGATCAATGCTGTCAGTGAATTGGTGATGAATACCCTCCGTGGCACCGTCCCCCGTTCCCGACACACCATCACGTTGCTCAAACCTCACGCTCAGAGTTTACGCGCCATGGCTAAACCCGCTCATTCCGTCAAACGCCGACGCGCTATCATGATGGCTCAAAAAGGAGGCGCCCTCTGGCCCGAACTCTACCGATGTTATAAACGTTGCATGCGCTAGACCAGACGCCTCAGTTGCACCATGGAACCCGAGATGGTGAGCACCACGGTGAACAACGCCCCGGCTTTTTTACAATTACGAGACCAGTATAAACAAGAATTGGTGGAAGACACCCGCTTGACCAAAGCCGCCGATTTAGCCGCCAAACAACATGTCCTCTTGACCAGTGATGCCCCTGATGCTTGGAAACGGCCTCAACTCAAAGCCGTCAGCCGTCAATTACGCCATTGGACTAAAAAAGTGCGCCAACCCTTTGGAGCCGCTGCTGGGGGTGTGACTGCTGCCGGGGCCACCACCCGGGCGACGATGATTTTGAAGCAGGTCCCATGCAAGCCTGGTTCACGCAATTGGTCAAGGCCACCCAGGGTATAAAACAAGGCACCCCGACGCGTGGACCCAGAAAACCCCCTGTCCCGCCTAAACCAAGGTTCACCCCTAGTGCCAAAAAGAAACTCAAGTTCACGACCCCGTTGAGCAGTGAAGAATTGGCGGACGAGTTGCCCTTTTCGGACACAACCGGTGTAGAACCGTGGGATACCCCTAAAGAACGTGTGGACACCATCAAGAGAAAAGCCCTACGTGATATTCGTAAAAAAACCACGGACAGTGCTAAAAAGAAAGCGGCGGGGATCGCCAAAAAGAAAGCCGCTGGTTGGGCCAAGAAAGCTTTGGATTGGAAATCGTGGAAAACCCCCTAAGATGGGACGCAAACGCCGTGCTCCATCCCGTTCCCGAGCCAGGCTGCGACGACGACGACGGTCGCAACGGGGTGGCAAGTTATTTGATGTGCAAAACCTCCTTAACAAGACCGGCATTGAATTTCATTGGCCCGGTTATCAGTACATGGGCCCTGGCACTCATTTGAAAAAACGATTGGCCCGTGGGGATCCCGGTATCAACCGGTTGGACAGGATTGCCAAAGCTCATGACATGGATTATGATAAAGCCAAGAATTTGAAAGATAAATGGGCGGCGGATCGCAAGATGATTGCCAAGATTGATCAACTCCCTGGCAGTAAAAACTTAACAGAGCGTATTGTGAGACGCATTATGAAAGCCAAACTTCGATTCGGCATGTAGTCATAAAACAAGACACTATGTTCAATAGCCCAATACACATGATTTAATTAAACGTTTGTTCTTACAAATACGAGTCCATTTTTTGTAAGGCCTCCGCGCGAAGGGTTTGCACACTGTCCTCATTAGGTACACTTAAGGGCAAGTCCAATGGCAACCACGGGAGGGGAAAGGGACGCTCTAATGCCTCGTCCAACCAGGACCATTCTCGACGTCGAATGGCTTCCATTCGCTTGTTGTATCGCTGACTCTGCAACATTTTCCAGGCTTCTTCGCCCACCGCTTTTCTTTTCTCGGCCGCTTGTTGTCGCCGCCTCGCATTGGTCCGTTGCAAGTAGGCCTCATAGGTCCCATTGTCTTTCATTCTTTGCCGCCAGTTGCGTTGACAATGGTTGTTCTTCCGCTTGACTTCCGCCCGTTTTTCCTCGCTCATGCCATAATATCGCCGCATCCCCTCTTCGGTCTTTTTGGCCTTAAAAGCCTCATACTCGCCAGTGGCTTTCAACCGGGCCATGCGTTCGTGATATCGGCGACGGTGAAGGGCCTTGACATCCTCTATGCCGTTGGGTTTGGCATACAGACGTTGCCGATAGGCTTTTTGTTGGATTTTGTTTCTTTCAGGGTCCCGTTTTTTCCTGGGTTTGGGGGGCTGGCGCGATCCTGGCGTATCCATGTTCCAACTCTAGTAAACGGGCAGAACACTCGTCGGCCAAGGCCTGCAATTTTCGGAAGGGATGGGGTGACTCCCGAGCCCGGGCACGACGGTCCCGTTGCTGTTGGACGATCTTGTCGCGGTGTCGATGGTAGTACTTGCGGTTGAGTGCCCGTACTTGATCTCCGTGTGTGGCTCGGTATCGGTTACAGGCCAACCGGTTCAACTCTCGGGCTCTGGCCAACTGTTCCTGGGTCGGAGGCGGTTTGGGTGGCTTGGGCGGTTTGAGTTTTTTCTGAGCCGCCCGCTTCTCCCGCTTCTGTGCCACAATCCTCTCCCTGTGTTTCAGGTACCACCTATGTTTCGCCTCTTTCACTTTCTCAGGATCTTTCGGCATGTCTCGAACGCAACTGACGTCTGGTCTGAACGAGGGTCTATATCTAGCCATCTTTCCGCCAATCACCGATCTCGGTCCAGGCTCAGAGGAGACTGGAAAATTCTGTACCCATGGGGGGTACCCCCCTCAATCCTCCTCCTGTCTATTCAACCCCTCACCTGACCCTCACCTGACTCTCACCTGAGCCCCATCCACCAATCCCTGTTCATCTGATCACGTGTTTTTTAGGTCTATAAAAGTCCGCGTCTGGCGCGGGAACATTCAAATTGCCTCCTCCGTCATGGCGGAGGACCACTGGTATCCTGACAGTGATGAGGAGGAAGAAGCTCTATTAAACCGCGCTTATGACCAGTGGGAACAATTGGGCGGAGCCGTTCCCGCTCGAGGCCCTCTCTTCCAATTTATGATGCAACCTATTGGTCGACGACGCCGCTGGCGTAATGTAGTGGAACGCGCACAATTCAATGCGCAATTGCGTCAATTGCGGGATCCTGGTCCTGGAGATAATATTGGGATGGCCCTCACGGAAGCCTTGCATCAAGCCATTGAAACAGAACTCGACCGCGAGCAGCGACCTGCCCATCATTTTGTGAACTTTGCTATTACAGCCCATGGGTTCACTCACGCGTATCAAACCGCCAATTTTACTGTGGGAGAATTTTTACAACGTACGGCTCGTTTGGACGAGATGTTAGCTACCCTAGCTGGCAAGTTGAACAGCAATGAAGCCTTCAACCCCGATCGTGGGTTCCAAGTGGATGTGGTGTTTGTCTCCATGCCCGGCCCAGGGTCTGGTCGACATAAACAACGCAATGTGGGCCGTTTATGTTTGGATCGAGTCAACAAGAAAAAGAGATGCATTGTCCCCATCCAAAATAGAGACACTTTATGTTGTGCTCGTGCTATTGTCACCATGCGTGCTTATTGCCATAAAGATCAAGGCGTGGACGGGTTTCGCGACTGGGAGAACCTCAAACGTGGTCGTCCTGTGCAACAACGTCAAGCCCAGGCTCTTCATCAGCAAGCGGGTGTCGCTGAGGGTCCCTGTGGTATCCCCGAGCTTCGTCAGTTTCAACAAGCGTTGGGATCTCACTATCAACTCTTGGTGATGACCCGGATGAAACCGTTCTTTTTGATTTTCAAAGGCCCTGACGCCCCTCATCAGATTCGTTTACTCAAGTCCAACGATCATTTTGATGGCTGCACGTCTTTTCCTGCCTTTGTCAATCGTTCGTATTATTGCCTGGACTGTGAACGAGGGTTCAACACCGACGATCGGACCAATCATACTTGTCAAGGGAGACGTTGCTCTGCGTGTGGACGTTTTGATTGTCCGGATTATGTGCGGGGTACCCGCCCCACTGAGTATTGCTGTCTGTGTTACCGCAAGTTTCACGGCCCTCAATGCAAACGTTATCATGAAATCAGTGCCCAATGTCAATCGATCAAATGCTGTCTCAAGTGTCAAGCCCAATACACAGTCGTCCGTAACCAACGTCACCGGTGCGGGTACGCCAAATGCCCAGCGTGTCAGGAATGGGTGTCCATCCAGAACCATCAATGTTACATTCAGCCTGTGGAGGATGAGTATGAGGAGACTGAACCGACAGAGGAGGGGGGAGGTCGCATGGTGGCGCCACCCCCTCCCCTGTTTGTTTACGCAGATTTTGAAGCCATGCAGAATGCAGAAGGCGTGTTTGTGGCTAATTTGTTATGTTATTCGTCGAGTGTAGACACCACCATTCATGTCTTGGACGGGGAGGACTGTGCCCTCCAATTTTTGCGCGATTTGGATGATCTCACGGATGTTCCAGATTGTGAGGGCGAGCGGACGATACTCGTGGTGTTTCACAATCTAAAAGGGTTTGATGGTATGTTCATTCTCCATGAACTCTACCAGCAACAACGCGAGGTCGTGGATCAACTGACCGTGGGCGCCAAAGTCTTATCGTTCAGAAGTGGACCCCTCAAATTCATCGACTCGTTGTGTTTCTTGCCTATGCCGCTGGCTTCCTTTTCCAGTACCTTCAATTTGACCGAATTAAAGAAGGGGTTCTTTCCCCATTTGTTCAACACCCCCGATCACCAACAGTATGTGGGTCGCATCCCTGATTTGGAATTTTACGACCCCGACGGCATGATGGCCAAAAAGAAAGAGGAACTGACTCGTTGGCATGCGGATCAAGTCCGTCGGAACGTGCCCTTCCATTTCCAACAAGAAATGATTGAGTATTGCAAATCCGATGTGGCTCTATTGAAAGCTGGGTGTGAAGCCTTTCAACAAGAATTTGAACAACAGGCGGGCTTCAATCCTATGGCCAAGTGCATCACCATCGCCAGTGCCTGCAATTTGTATTGGCGCAAGCATCATTTGACCCCCGACACCATTGCAGTGGAACCACTCGGAGGGTGGCGAGGGGCCCAAGTCAACCATTCCCTCAAAGCCCTCCAATGGCTCTATTACCAAGAACATCTCCTTCCCAAAGAGGGGGCCAGTGCTGATCGCATACGTCACGTTCGTAATGGCGGCGAACAATCGGTCCGAACCAGCGTCGACAGTCATTTCGTCGATGGCTACGATCCTGTGACTCGCACCGTCTATGAGTTCCACGGATGTCTCTACCATGGCTGTCCCCGCTGTTATCCCGCGAGAAACGCCAAACATTATGCCACGCCGGATCGAACTGTAGAGGAACTCTATCAAGCCACCCTCTCCAAACGCACGACCTTGCTCCGAGCGGGTTATACAGTCATCGAAATGTGGGAATGTGAATGGGACCGACTAGTGGACACGGATGAAGCTGTTCAACATTTCCTGGCTTCCTTCGATTTGGTGGCGCCCCTGGAACCCCGTGAAGCCTTCTTTGGAGGCCGAACCGGTGCCGTGGCTCTGCATGCCGTAGCTGGAGAGGGGGAGGAAATACGCTATGTGGATGTGACCTCCCTGTACCCCTGGGTCAACAAAAATTGTCCCTATCCCATCGGACATCCACAAATCATCACGCAGCCTGCCGACCAGTCCCTGGAGTCCTATTTTGGTCTAGCCACCGTCGATATTCTTCCCCCCGCTGGTTTGTTCCATCCTGTTCTGCCTGTGCGTAGCGGCAACAAGCTCACCTTTCCTCTCTGCCGCGCTTGTGTTCAGTCCGAACAGGCCCAACCCATGTTGACCCGAACCCGTTATTGCCCTCATTCTGATGCGGATCGCACGCTACGCGGTACCTGGTGCACACCCGAATTGGTCAAAGCGGTCGAAAAGGGGTACACGCTGATCAAGATTCACGAAGTCTGGCATTTTCCCCCTGAGCAACGCCAAACGGGTCTTTTTGCTGATTATGTGAACACGTGGCTCAAGATCAAACAAGAATCCGCGGGGTGGCCCGGCTGGTGTCAGACCCTTGAGCAGAAACGCCATTACATTCTTCGTTACCAGGAACGGGAAGGCATCCAACTGGACATTGCCAGTATTGCCAAAAATCCCGGTCGCAAAGCCACGGCCAAGCTCATGCTGAACAGCTTCTGGGGCAAATTTGGGGAGCGGATCAATAAACCCACCACTGTCACTGTCCAAGACCCCGCCCAATTGTTCAATCTCATCTCGGATGCTGCTCTCGACCTTAGTACGCTCCGCCTTTGCACGGACGATATCTTGGAAGCCGTTTACACCAGTGTCCAAGACAATGCTGTCAAAGGCACCAAGACCAATATTTTTGTGGCCGCTTTCACCACCTGCCATGCTCGACTCAAGCTCTACGAGTCCCTGGATACCCTGCAACAGCAAGTCCTTTACTACGACACAGATAGTGTGGTATACAAATGGCGGCCCGGTCAACCCAGCATTGCCACCGGGGATTTTTTGGGGGACATGACGGACGAATTGGACGGTGACGTCATCATTGAGTTTGTTTCGGGGGGTGCCAAGAATTATGGGTACACGACACGACAGGGTAAAGTGGTATGCAAGGTACGCGGTTTCACGCTCAATGTCCGTGGATCCGCTATTCTCAATTTTCAGACCATGAAAGACAACATTCTCTCCGAATTGGATTCGCCCCAGGAGTCTCGACGCAATTTGAATATCACCAACCCTTATTATTTCCAACGAGATCTAGAACAAAAACAAATTCAAGTGGTTCCGCGCGTGAAGCAGTATGGGTTGGTGTTTGACAAGCGTGTCATTGAGGTCGCCACCCGATCCAGTCATCCCTATGGCTATGAGAGGATTGGAGATGAACTTGACTTGCTATTAGATTTGTAATGGGCGTGATATCACTAGGGTGTCACACACGTCCCGCTTGTACCCAGGACTTCACGCGGTTCATTAAAACTATGTCAAGAATGTAGATTCAACTCTTGTGTGTGCGTGTTCTTTATTCCTATGGGGTCACGTGGTTTAAAACAATGGGTTGTGACGTCAATAAGTCACATGGGCGAAATGCGCGATTCTGATTGGTCGAGACCAAATTTGCTGCGCTCTGATTGGTTAGGACCCCAAGTAGCCATATGTACTACTTACGTAGTAGCCAATTTTCCATGGGTTTGCGTTCTCAGCGAGCGCGCGCAAAGATCAAACAGAAAAAGTTTTTTTTTTTGGCGTCTTTGAAAAACATCGTTTTTAACAGAAAATTGCCGTGGACATCAGCAAAGCTTCACCAAAATTGCGATGCACGTGCAAAGTTGTTGATTGGCTCATTAGAGCTACTATTGTTCTTGTTTGTCTGAAAAGCTGACCATGTTTCAACGCACTCTTAGGGTGTGTTCCTTTCGGTGCATCCAAAAACGGATTTTAGATCTAAGAACGGATTTCGCGTTCCTTTCGGCAAATCCAAATCCGGATTTTTGATCTGGTGAATCCTTTTTGAAAAAGGATTCATTGGATTTGAAATCCGAAGAATCCAAATCCAGATTAACGGAGTAGTGATCTACGCTGTTCCATTCACTGTGGATCCGAAATTAGTCAGATGATCCAGCGGTATTTTTACTTGAAGTATTCCCATAGAGGCCGTAGAGTTTCCTCGTTGCTGTCATTTGCCGCAAAACATCTGAAAACATTAGAAGATTGTTCCTGGTACATTAAAATATCAATATACTAACCATTTGTCTCTAAAGATTGCTTGAAATCAGAAATAAGTAAAAGTAACAAATGGACTGCCATCTAACCGGTCAGTATAAAATATGGACTGCGGACTGCGGACCACGGACTGCGGACTGGGTATAAAATACGGACTAGGTATAAAACGCGGACTCCGGACTGAGTATAAAACACGGACTAGGTATAAAACGCGAACTACGGACTATGTATATAAAAACAGCTTTAGAAGGTAAAACTAAGAGAAATAGAAAGCGGACTAGCAAAACAGTAGTCCCAGCTTTAACATTCCCGTGGCTGTTCACGTAGTCTATTCTTCCCACTGAGAAGGAAGGCCTCAAGGCAACTGAAATTAGACTCTTAGTTTTATAAAAAGAAGGAGTTTGAAGAGATTTCAATTTGCAGTTTTAAACCAATGAGAGGCACCGAATTAAAAAAAAATAGTATGATCAGTAAATTTCTTATCGGATGCCACAATTCCGCTTCAAATAAAGCCTTGGGAATATAATTATAAGAACTGAATGAAGAACTCAGACGAGAAGGTCAATCAGCAGGGACCGCGCAGAGGGAGGGGCTGGGGGGGCTTTAGCCCCCCCACTTTTTTGCAAGAATGACGTATGATATGAAGATATACAGATCTCGGAGGGTGTTATCCACGCATTCTTTTTTAGCCCCCCCACTCGAAAACTTGCTGCGCGGTCCCTGCAATGCGATGCACAAAAGCAGTCTTTAGGTGCGAGGGATTACTCACATACGTGAATAATAACCGAAATGAGTCATCCTATTCTAAACGATGATTATGATGACATGATTTACACCCTGCTCCTTATCCCCGGAGGGGGGTACTACTGGGAATTCTTGGTGGGGGTGTAGTGCTCGGTTCTCCGAATCCTAACCTTATTGCAGACCAAAAAATTGTCATTTTCCACACCCGTTTTCAGACTAGATCTTGAAAATCCATACCCATTTTCGGACCTGGCCTAATTTAGCCTGTTCCAGGTTCTCAGATAGTTGGGGAGACTCCCCAGTTTTCTCCCGTTTTATTTTCGTGTTTTCGCTTTCTCAATTCAGCCGACCCATCTATCTCAGAGCCTTGAACAGGTTAGGTCTAATTAGGCAGAAATATTGTCATCATTACCAAGTTAGAGCGGAAACAAAAAAATTCTCCAAATGCATTTCGAATTCGCACATTTCTATTTCGTTCTTATTCATTTGGAATTGAAACGATAAATACATCCATTCATGTATGCTCCCGTAGTTCCCTCGAAAACCATATCCGATTCCACACCAAAATGGGCAAAGTGTTGTCAGACCAAAAAGGCCCAAACCCCCTACCCTTCTATTATAGAAGGGAGTACCACCCCTGATCCTGACCCCTTTCATGATTGTTAGAGACCAAGACAAGCTCTAAAAATGGGTGAAGAAAGTAGCATTTTGATCCGGCTCATGATTCAGAGAACCGGGCGGGACACCTCCACCAAGAATTTATAGGAGTATTTTCAACTTTAACTCACGTGTCTTGCTATTTAGCGATCTTTTGATCAAATTTTTCCTTACCTAGAACCAATTTGCACGGTTTTTACCAAAGTAGTCCGTAGTCAGTATTTTATACCCAGTCCGCAGTCCGCGTTTTATACCTTGTCCGCGTTTTATACCCAGTCCGTATTTTGTAGTCCGCGTTTTATACCTAGTCCATATTTTATACCCAGTCCGCAGTCCGTAGTCCGCAGTCCGCAGTCCGTGTTTTATACTGACCGGCCATCTAACTACAAACTCGCTTGTAGACGCGACAGGCACTCGATCGTGTTACATAAAAAAATCCGAGCTATGGAACTGGATCAAACTGGCCGACATTCTTTAGATAATTTTCAATTTTAATGCGCTTCTTTCTTTGTCTGTTTTATATGTTCCATCGTCCCTATTCAAACTGCCGACCACTAAATTCTGCACGGTATAATCGCACAGTAGAAAACACGTCATTTTTTGGGAGGCTGTCGTGCATATTGCACGCGTTGGCTAAAGGTTACCAAGGTTACAAATCCAATTTCGGATTTCACGTTCCTTTCGACCGCGAAATCTGGCAAATCTAGGATCAAAAATCCGTTTTTGGATTCGCCGAAAGGAACACACCCTTATTTAATTCCTCTGATGAGTTCATGGCATGGCATGGGTTTTGCTTGACAGAATGGATTAGTTTTTTACTCGTCAATGGAACTTCTCATAGACATTCTTCATAGAAACGAGCTACAGCAGAGGTGCAAGAAGGTATAACGCTTATAATTTTTCTTTTTCAATAAGATTAATTGTTTTACAAAATTTTTAATATCGCGCGAGAATCGATAAATGTTCGCGTTGATGATTTCTTTACACGTTTTTTCTTTGTCTTCAGAATTTGCAGTTTCGATAACTCAGCTTCCGGAGGCCATCATTAGCTTGGAGAATTCGAGAAATAATCCAGCGAGTGTACATGTCCATGCAAATTCAAGTGCAGAGACTTACTTAACATAAGCTTACCAGGCATTCATTCATGCCAATCTGGGCTGAAGTTTTCTCCCACTTGAAGCAAATATTTTTTCTAAGAACTTTTCTTGTTCGCGCATTTGAAAAAACGTAGAAAAAAATTTATTTTTCTTATCAAGTAACGTCGCTCGTGCACAAATTTTTTCGTAAGCTTAATGTAGAGAAAACTAGAGAAACAAGAACCACGAGCGAACGAGATTTTCACGAGCGCGTGAACCAGATTTTGGCGGGAAAACATGAGAGCCGTGATTTTTTGCGAACATGAATTCCTCTCCTCCTCCCCTAGAGAGGGGGATTTTGCAAAAGGCTTCAGAAAAATGGCCCAATTAGAATCTGTGTGCTGAGCGACCTGAGCATGACCCTGGGCATATTTTTGAAAGGTTTTAGTAAGGATATCCATTTTCAACAAAATGGCTGCCGCGCTCTCACAATGGGGTGGTTTTCAAGGCCAACGTTTTGAATTTTGAGGCTAAAAATACATCGTTGAAAGACAAAAATGGCAAAAGAAAGTGCAAGAGAATTTTCAGTTTTTGTTTTGTGGGAAGTGGAAAGCTTTTCGTTACGAAATAGCCCTTCGAGGAATTTCAAGCCGTGGTGGCCAGTGCTTGTTTTTGAAAGGCAACCAAGGGAGCGAAGCATTTGCAGAATTTTCAGGTAAATTTTGTACTCTATGGTCAGGAAATTACGTTTTTAAAAGCGATTTTATGTAGTCATAACTAATTGATGCAATGGAGACATCGTTGAAGAGACATCGACAATTTCTTCTACACCTTTCGCTTGTTCCGTTTTAGCTTGGTTTGTTTTATCCGGGCGACTGAAGCGCGACTGAAATAGACCAACATCGAAGCGAAAACACACCAGATTAAAGAACAATTAGAGTGTGTAAACACTTTTTTTCACTTTAATAAAACAGTCGTCTTTAATAATGTTTTTAAACACTCATGAAGGGACGGAAAAGTCAAACTACCATGTAAAAAAGGCATTAAATAGTAGTAATCTCGGAAGATAATGATTTGAACAGTTCAGGGCGAGTGACTGAGTTAAAATTTGGCTTGAACTTAATAAATTGAATCATTTGGGTTCGAATCTGTATTTTGGAGTAACTATTGTAGCCACCTTAATGTTCATCTGTACTTTCCTTTCTGCCTGTGTTCTCAGTTTGGGATTTCGAAACAATGAATGATTGAAACATTGATTACAATTGTGGGATTTTGAAACAATTGAAAATTAGAATGAAGAAATGGCTATTGCATTTAATATCTGTACCCCCCCGGTTGAGGACTTAACCTTTTCTTCTTTTAATACCCCTAAAAATTGGCATTCCACAGGGCAATACTTCCATAATATATGGGCTTACCCCTGAAGAATATGGGTCCCACCTCTGAAGAATTTTGTGAAAATGAAAGCTTCACCCCTAGAGAATTCTATCTTTTTTCACTTTACTCCTAAAGAAATCCTCAATTTTTAATAACTTATTTCCAAAGAATTCCATAGTTCCTCAACTGTGGTGGAGGGAGGTGCGGATATTAAATGCAATAGCCCAATAAACATCAGGAAACTGGTGTTTTGAAACAATGAATAGCTGAAACAATGAAACAATGATTGCAATACTGGGATTTTGAAACAGCGAAATTTGGAACAATTATCACAGTACAATCAAACCTCCATGTGTGACCACCTCTTGTAAGGGATCACTTCCCACAAGCGACTTCCAATCTAAAACACCAAACCTTTCTCAGTCAAAGCCTTACAGTTGGAACCTCTAGTAAACGAGCATCGCCTGTGAGTGACCGGGACCACTTTTTGGGCCTGACGGTTAATGATTTTCCATTGTTTTTAACCTCTTGTGAGCGACCATTTGACGCATTCTCTGATCTCTATTTTCGCTGTGTGCACTATGTGACTTAATAAATACAAAGAACTTTACTGACAACATGGAACTACGCATATCCTAACTTGAACATTGCATGCAATAAATTATCTTGCATAAAGTAGATGTGCCTGGACCTCTTCTTGGAAGAGACCCCCTGTGGTTTGATTCTTGTAAACGACCACCTACCGTAAGCGACCACTCAGTCTTTGCATTTTGGGTGGTCACTTATGGGAGGTTTGACTGTACTAGGATTTTGAAACAGTGAAATTTGAAATGATGTTCACAATACTGGGATTTTGATACTGAAATTTAAATAAAATGATCACAATACTGGGATTTTGAAACAGTGAAATTTTATATTTGTCTGGAAAAAGTGAGAGAAAAGTCAGGGAATTTCAGAAACCTCTGGCTGTGGCAACCATGGATGATAAAAAGTAAGTCTGAAAGATGTGATTTTTATGTGGTAAATGGTTAATAATTTCTAAATGCTGCTAATATAATTATAAACTAGCAGTAGCCGTTGGCTAGGAAATGCGTGTGAAGATGTGATTTATGAAAATGGCCGCTTTCATAATTGTGTAAGCCCTTTTATTTCCAGTGTCAACAAAAGGATATAACTGCCAATCATGAAAACTGGATTGAACAACACAGTAAACACTTATTTTATTCAATGATTTTATTCACATTTGCTTGGATACAAGTATCCTGTGAATGGTGAGGAGCAAGGAGATGGCTGTATTTGCTGGCGTAGATACATGTACATTGAAACAGCAATGCGTGGCACAAGTAATGCATGTTTACAGTCATGACAGCACAAAATCTTATTTAAATGCAATTGAATATTCAATCCGTGTCCAATAACCAAAGGCCGTTGATATGCAATACTATGAAACAGCTCGGATGACTAGCGACTTAACATGCTTGGAAACATAGAAAAATACTAAGTATATTAACCCATTCGCTCCTGGAGATTTGCCGAAAAACGCGTTTTGAAGCTAGTCGAGTGGTTTTCTGGTCACTGTCGTGCTATAAAGAGCTAAAACTTACCACAAACCGGTTTACAGGTCGTACACTTCGCGGCCTTCTGATCCACATGCAAAATATCAGCTTGCGAACTTCGGGCATGCGCAGAAAGCAAAATTTCAAGATAGTTTTTGGGTTTAAAAGTGACACAGCAGTCTTGACTTTTACTTTTCACTTTCTCTCCTCCCTTCTTTTTTCGCTTTTCTTGCCTCATTTTTTTTTTCTCTTGCTGGGCATTTGGTAGGCTTCATTTTGGTGGGAAGAGTTTTTAGGAAAGCTTTTAGGATCTTAGGATTTGGTGAAAGGAAAGGTAGGTGGGTAATGGAACAAGATTTTCATGGAGATTTTCAGGTCAATGTCACGTGGTTTTTTGCTTCTTTCTCCGGTGTCCTTGACTGAATTGAGCTCATTCTGGTATGGTTTGAAAGATCTCTTCACTCTGCACAAGTTGGCAAAGAAAGTTGTCCCTGACCGTTAAAACTGATGACGTCACAAAGGGTAGAAAGGACCTGGATCCGCACGGGCAGTTCAGGGGCGAATGGGTTAAAAAAGCATGCTCTGTAGTAAAACCTGAATAAACTTGCATCGATTTCTAGACTTCGCTAACACTCCTATCTTATTGAAAATATGTACTGCACTAAGCTGAGATTGGGCTCTACTTTCATTTCCCTTGGTAAATAGATTCCAGGCTGGCAAACAAGCTATGCCATAGCCTAGGCAAATTCATAAACATGCTTCAAATACTATAAAACACCAATCGTGAGAACAGTGAGAGAAAAGAAGAACAAGTGTTTAACTTTGAGGATTTATATATGCTTAAACTGAAATCAATTGTATTAAGCTCAACTCACTCAAAAATTTCTGCTGGGAGTCTCCAGTTTTGGTCAAGGGTCAAGGGTTGAGGGTAAAATGTTGAGGGTTGAGAAAATGCCATAGATTGTTTTGTGGGCGAGTAAAAGACATTCCTTGTGAATTTTGTAGACAATTTTCATGTTGGAACCCCAGTTACTCATACTAAGCTGTTGAATCCTTACGGCATCAATGAGAGGAGTGTACAGTATACGTAACTTTGCACCTTTTAGCTGTGTTTGTTCGCTTTTGTCCATTGCTAGTGGCCCTTTTGAACTACTTCCATTTAAAAGCTGTAAATACGTTTGCTTAGACAGGAGAATAAATCCTCTCTTGACGAGTAATTCACTGCGTGGATTGGCTGTCATAGGGAGATACTTGAGCAAAGCGTTAGCCCTTTAAACATTTTCCCTGGAAGTTCTGCTGTACCACTAATTCATGGATAGATTTCAGGAAAAGAGAAAGCTTGTAATTGGTGAAAAGGCGCGCATTTTGTTGCATTTGAATTTAAGGTTCTCCAAATTGAAGGCCACCATATCGCCAATATAATTATTTATTTGACAAAGTTGTTATTAGTGAAAAATGTTGCTGTTATTTTTTTGTTTTAAATTTTGTTGATATAATGATAAGAATTATCATGACTGTTAGATGTTTGAATTTGGAATATACATGAAATACTTAGGAATAAAACCTAAGAAGCATGTATTACATCAATAGCTTAGAGATAAAAATAGGGTACAGTGAAACCTGTATTAAGCGGACACCCTCGGGGAATGCTGTAGTGTCTGCTTAATACAGGGTGTCCGTCTAATACAGGTTTCGACAGATAGTGCCATATGAGGTGTCAAATGCCATTTAAATGAACAGTGGGAAGGTTAAGAATACTCCCAGGGATTTTGACGATATACGTTGGCATTAATTTCTTTATCAAAGTGGACCAGTAAACATAATACCATAAACATAGATTGCAACTCAAATTTGAAGAAATCAGATGAGTGAAACAAGCTCCATATAAACAAAACGAAATAGAAAACAATAGTGTACTGTGAAACTAATCAAATATGTTCATCAAGTCACGTTTTTTACTGTAAAAATAGAAAAATTTGTGGGTGGCAATTCAAGGCAATCTTCGCATTTCTGGTGTCTGGCATGTGGTGTGGTGGCATTTGATTACAAGTGTCCGTTTAATACAGGTTGGTAACAATAGAAATGACCATTTCAGGTTCTTTTTAGGTGTTCGCATCCGTTTAATAGAGGTGTCCGCTTAATAAAGGTTTCATTTAAAGCAAATAAGGGAAATAATAATATTGCTATATTACACAATAGTATTGGCCAATCAATTCAAGACTTTTTATAACAGGCGTGTTAAAATCCCAATACAGTATCCCCATGTCATTACAGAATTCTGCCCATTGATCTGAGTTGCCCGTAAAATCGTGAGTCCCATGACTATTTGTGTGCTCACAAAGGATGCCGATGCATGTGGCGTCCTTTGACTCTAGACTGAAGTGTTAGCGTATTGTTTCCATGATACAAATGTAATTTAACTTAAGAAAATCGATAATTCCAAGCTTTTTCGCTACTCTCTGTTTTGTTAGGAAATGCAATGGCTCAACTTGATTTTTGGTCAGCAAGAATTTTTTTTCTAGAAACCTGCTATGCAGGATATTTTTGTCCCTTGTCATATCTCTGTAGGATTTTTTTTCCTCAGAAAGGGTCAGTCCAAGTTTTTGTTAAAATGTGTTATATTTACTAAAAGTATTTACATTGAAATTGTGGCTATTGTAGTAATAAGTCCTGATATGGAGCTGCAAAGCCTTAAAAGTTAGTAAATTTTACAACAACATTCTTGTATAGCTCTGTTTTTGGCTCAAAGTCATTCTTTACACACTGTCATATGAATTCATTATAATATTGTCATATTATAAACTGATGCACATCAAGCAAATGTTAAAATGTTTAGATTCTTAGTTAAAAAATAGCCCAAAATAGCAAAAGCAGTTCAGAAATTCTCATAGTATGGTAAATGTAGTTAGAATAATCACTTACAATTTAAAAGTGGATTAAAATCTCCAGAACAGGTGTGAAAGCAGAATTGAAATTTATAGTGGATCATCGTTTTATACCTGTATGTATGTGAATAAATTGCTCTAATAATTTTTGCTCAACCTTTTTTCCGTCCACTTCTAACTTGAGCATCTCATAGTTGAACATAAAAACAAAGTGATGGTGTTCCTTGTTCTTTTATCTATGAAAACAGGCCACTTCCTAGGTACTGATTCTCTTTCAGGCCACCGAAAAGAAGCTGGAAAGAAAAAACAGGAATCCTGACTTTCTTAACCACAGGCTACCTTAAAATGACACTGATTTCTTGTTATGTTGATTGTAATTTTAGCTTACATGAAGTAATAATTCTGCAGCACCACCATTCCAGAGTTTAAAAGGGAACAAGGGCAGAATGGTTGCAGTTTTGCTCGGATAATTTTTGTAAAGCTTTCTGAATGATGAAATAAATTGGTAACATTTTTTTTCTTTCTTACAGCAGTGCATGAATTTCTTATATTCTATTTGTGCTGCATGCAGTTTTTTTCTTCCAACAAGTGTTTGTAGGAATTTGTTTTCAAAATCACCCACCCCCCCCCTCAAAAGTTAAATGGTCGACCCCTAAAAGTTGTCAGAAAGGGAAAGGTCACTATAGCAGAAGAAATGGTAAAAATAACAACAAATGGTTGAACTGTATCCTTATTTATTTTATAAATTGAAGAATATCCTTTTTTTCTTCATTTTTCTAGACTAATGATGCGGTCATGCATTGACAAACTAATAGAAATGTTCACCAAGCGAACGTCAGAAGCCTGGGTAGGTACCTCACTCAAACTTAAACCTGTTGTAATCGACAGAAGATGTTCAATTTTTAGAAATTTTAAAATCACGTATGCATTAAAAATCCTTTTTTGTTTTCTAAAGGTCGCCTTGGCTACCACCAACATTTATTGATCTTCTGCCTCCATTGGACCTTTTTAGCGTGCAAGTGAAATAGTAAGTGGACAACCATTGACAATGTTGTTAGACTTGTCTGTTGCTACTGATTCTATAATTAAGATGCTGACAGAACAAGAGACACTGTTTTTGATGTCTTTGTTTTGATCTTAGGGAAACACACATTGATCGTGCAAAGTTGTTTGATCTTGCCAAATCACTTTGACATTGAGAAAAACAAAACCTATAAAAAATAAAAAGAGAAAGTACAATGCTGCTATTTTCCAAAAATATGCTCCAACACTTGTAAACAGTTACAAACATGGTATTCACGGGATTTAACTCGTACTCTATAAATCTGTTTAGAACAAGCTGGACCAGCAAACAGTGGTGTTTATCGATGCCATGAATCAAGCTAAATACAACAAGGACTCTAGCCGAATTCTATAATGTCTTCTCCACCAGAAGTGTAGTTTTGTGTCAAAACTCATGGCCATGCTGCTGTAATGGTTTGATAAAAGGGACTTTAAGATCCAACGACATGGACGCAACAAGAACGTCAAAAACAATATGTTTCATAAGCAAAACAACAACTTCGCATGTGCATCACACTTTTTTGTACATTTCTTTCCCGTTTTTGCAGGACTACGATGTGAAAATGCCTTATTTCGAGTTTTATGGAGGACGTAAACAAGAGGCGATGAAATTTTATTGCATTTTCTGAACTTGGATATGGTCACTTGAAATTCAGCTTCAAGAGGGTTTGCCTACCTTTGACAAAGTAAGTACGTAGGAATAATCTCTATTAAGACTGAAAAAACGCAAATTCACTTTTTAAGCGACGTTCTTGTTGTCGTCGCGTCGTTGGATCTTAAAGTCCCTAAAAACAGCCGCCACCAATTGGATGGCTGGCTTCATCATGTGTCCTCATACTTTGAGCACAGAAAAAATCCAAGAGCCGGCAGCCTCTAAAATAACTCAACAGAAAGGTTCTGTGAATTATAAGGAAGATTCCACCTAAGATTTCATCACTCATTGTGGAGTAGCTGTCGTTAATTCTCTGCCAGTACAACGGCCACTGATAAGAGGACACTTTAAATCCACATAATTAAATTCCAAAGGCAAACAATTTAAAAAATAATGCAAAAAAACTTCTGCTGTAATCACCATAGAACAATTCTTAATACAAAACTTCGCTAACTATCAAATGCTGGCTGGGATTTAGACAGATAAAAACAGCCTTTCAGAATCTCCAACAGAACTGGAAAAAGTTGGGTTGACGTTTTTAAGTTTGTTTTCATTGCCGCACACATGCGCCAGGGGTGACATATCCCCTTTAAAATCTTTGGCCTTCTTTGCTTTAAGTATCGATTTTAAAGTATGAGGCAAAATAAAAAGCGAAAGTTACCTTTAACAAGGCTCTAACTAAATTTTGATCATCAAATTTAAACATGAACTGCAGTCTTCCCTCTCATGACATTACAACTAGTGCTTTGGAACTGATAATATTATGGAGCCCCCAATAGGACATTAACCAAAGAAGTTTGAAATGAAAAAACAAAGACTTATCGCATGACTTACAGTACAGCTCAGAGACAAGCAAAAAACATGCATGTTTTTCACGTTAACGCAAGCGCGTTTTTGAAACTAGCTTTCGCTTTTGTTATTCACTGTTTAGTGCTTCATTGTTTTCTCTTTGTTTGCGAAACAAAACAAAAGTAGTGCTCCCAAACTGCCATGAATGAATGGTATAGAATATTCTATTTCTGTGAATGACCGATGACATAACATGACATACCTTCTGAACTCTAACTGCATGTATAACAGATATAAAATTAATTGAGAACAGCTATCCAGAATCGATAATTTTACATAGACATACAGCTGTAACACAACACGGCATGGTTAATTCATGCAAGCGACTGCATGCTCGAAACAAGACCAATTCAAGTTTTACTAAGCGAATGTTTCTTCAAGGACATCTGTATCAAGCTTCAGTTCCTCAAGTACTGTTTCAAATGCTGCTTCAAATGCAAACAAACAGTCTTAACTCGTGTACAAGCAAGAAGATAAATAACAGCATGTTTATTTTGTAACTTCAAATGATTCTGGGCTTATCTGGGCACCCGGCATTATAAAGATCAGCTATAACACACGTTTGTCAGTAACATGACCAATCTTTGGCTCTGAAATTGTGTTTGTGATCCTTGGAAACTTCCGAGAAACATGGGCTTTAATTCTACTAGGAAATATAGCGCTTTCTTTAAAGTTTGAGTTAACTCTCGGAAAATTCCTGAAAACTGGGCTTGAACATGATACGCATGAACTTTTGTGTTGCCTAGCATGTGACTGCAACTACCGTGATAAAAAATTGTGCGATGTTTTAAAAAGCGGAGTGTATTGCATGAGATTGTATATTGTTTTCAAAGCACTTGGAGGTTTCTGAAGTTTTCTTAAACTTTTCACGTATATTTCAATCAAACTTTTATGTACACCAGGGTACAAAGAAAATCATTTTTTGAAGCTATCATTTACTAGCCCAGATGTCATTTCAAGTAGCCCCAAAGCTTTGTGACGAGCAGAATTGATTGCACAGTTCTTTTGTTATTCAAATTCCTCAAAACACATTACTTGCCCTTTGGGCAAGTTAAAAACAGAATTCACTAGCCTGATAACAAAATCTACTAGCCCCAGGCTATTGGACACTACTTTCTTTGCATGCTGCACACAAGATTTCACGTCTCAAATATCAAACTGACATGCTATAGCATATCGCGAAAACAGCAAGTTAGGTCAAGTGGTCAAATTACAAATAAAGTTTCCAGCAGAAAAAAACACCCTGACTGTGGACACCGATGACCAGCAATTCAACTTCTGATGGACATTCACAAACAGGCAGTCTAAAACTAATCGACAAGTAGAATTTGAAAGACGAGCCAAAGAACCAACACTGTCACTTATTAACCTGACATTTATTTACACAAACTTCCTTCATTTTGAATGTGACAGATATATAAGTTCGTGAATTACTTTTCAAGTTCAACTACTGTAGTAAACTGCCAACTTCTTAACATTTTAATTAAGGTTTCGACGCAAAGTATCAGCTGAGCTATGGCAAAGAATGCAAATTTCCTGAAGAGTTGTCAACTGCTCTTATATGTTGAATTTGCATAGTTCAGGAATTTCTTGCAAGAATTAAAGGCTGAGTAGAGTTAAGTTATTTTATAGAGTAGAAAGTTTTTTTTGACGTGAGAGGAGTTAGAAGATTACTTGAAACTTAGTCTCCAAGTAAGTTTGTTCTTCATTAGTTTTATTTTGTATTGTGAAGTGAAGCAGTGATTATTATTTAGAATCGAAACCCTGTTCCAGTCTTCACCAAATCTTGTAGACATTGTTAAGTCTTGTTGTGGCTGTTGCGATAACAATAAACCAGCAACAATACATTAGCTCATACATACTAATCAGTTCTGATGCAAGCCCGTTTTTGAAGCATGTTAGGTAAACGGACTGGCATTAACGAATTTTACGCGAACTAGTTTGAAGCGCATTAACGTGGACTCCTACCTTTGAGCTGTACTGTATAACTTGTCCTAGATGAGTTATAAGTCTGTAGACCTAAGACCACTTATGTGTCGATTTATAACTTGTTTCCCGCCGTTTCAGCATCTTTGTGCTTGCTTAAGATTCCAATTCACTCATTTCATCTCTTTTCCTCTTACGAGACGTTTTAGCCTAAGTGAAAACTTCCATTGTGGATTTCATTGTAGAAATTGAAGTCAGTGACTATTGTGGGAGGTCCTTTAGTTCTTTGAAATCGTGCAAAACATGAATGGACTAATCTGTGGACCTTGAGCTTGATGTGTGAGGCGCTGAGGATTTAGTGGTACTCTTGTTTGCTGATGAACTTTGAGAAGCAGAGTTTCTTGTAGGAACTGACTTTGTCTTCGATTTTGTTGTTTTTTCCCTGTCCTGAGTCAATCTCTGTGAGCCCAGGATGGAATTATCTCCAGTGGACATGTTCAACTGTAGGTGAGCATTTGTGACATCTGTCTCGCCATGTGTTGAGGTCTTGGCTGATGTCACGGCTGACTGCAGCATATTGTGACCACAAAGTCAGCAAATTTCTACTCTTCGAGTCAGAGACAAATTAAATATCTTCTTAACTGCAATTTGGGTCCGCCGAACTGTAATTTGTGAAGAAATTCAGCAAAATTTTACAATGCGTGTTCTTTTAGTCTTTGTTCTGATTAACAATAGAAGGAGTATATTTTTATTTCAGTAAACTGTAACACTGAGTTTTGGAGTCTGTCTTCAGATTGACTGTTTGGTTACAAATGAGCCAGGGACTCACTGTTTTTTGAACTGGCAGTCGATGGTTGTGGACTGGGACTCATGATTTTTCACAAGATGAGTCCCAGGACTTCCCAAAACTATTTGCAACAAAATCACTGCTGCCGTTGAAACCAGAGCGAATTAAGACTGAAATAACACAAAAGTTAATGGTTTTGAAATACGCCTTTAAGCTAATTTTCCTCAAATGTATCGTTGAATCCACCAACTTCAAACAGCATTCACTGGAGAGAAAAATGCTTTAAGTATAATTTTTTTAGCTCCAAGATTATTCAGTCGCTGTGTGGCACAGTGGTAATAGATCTAATTTCATTTGTAGGAGATTCGGAGGGAGTGAGTTCAAATCCTGTCAAAGCCATACTTTACAAGTTAGTATTTTTTTTTCTTTTTAGTTTTTTGATCATTTTTTACCCATTTGGTTTGTTTCCCTTTATTCTCACTGCCGATCCTTTAAAACTTCGAGGATGTTGCGATAATGTATTTCTAGTCCTCACTTTGAAAAAGGAAGGTCTGTACAACTTAAATTGCTAACATTTAATCAAATCTATTCAATTGTTTGATTAAAAAGGCACAACCTTACATACACTCCGAAATATGGGGTCTATCTTTCAATGGACAGAGTCAAAAAAAGTATGGCTTTCAAATAGTGGCGACCAACTTTTTGGAATTTGTTACTACTTTAAATTATTTCAGAGCCAACTGGCTACTGGAGAAAAAAGTTAATTTCATGCCCAGGCTGTACCTGCTAGGCAGACTACTACTAGTAGCAGAGACGTGAACTGCTTGGGAAGCAACCGACTTATGTGCCACATTTTATAATGAAAACTACTGATATAAGGTACAGGTTGTGCATTTCAAGGCCTTCATAAATTTGCAAGCTTAATATGCTTACTGGCTATGAATGCAATTGTATGCGATTCATTTTCAGTGAAAAGATTAGCGAGAGCTGTAATTCCTAATTATACAACATAATATGAGTATATAATTGCAGGATACAGACATAGACAGTGCAAATAAAAGTACTGTATCAGCGAAAAATAAGTAAAAAAAAGCAATACAACCATAATGTAAACAACAATATTTAATTTAATTTTTAAGTCAAAGCATAACCTTAAGCTTGATACTTGACATTTCGGTCAAGAAAAGGCCTTACCGTCTTAGAATGTCCCTAAGCATAATTAGCGGGTATTTCAGTGTAAAATGCATTGGCGACTTTTTGGAGCAGACTGCCGTACGTATTTTGTCTCCATGGTACTGGAGCTCCTGCTAGAGACTGTGAAGTTTGTGGTGTAAACAATATACCACGCAAACATGTGATTTACCTGCAATGTTCCTCCTTTGTCATGTTACTGGACATTTAAACTGCCCCATTGC